CGACGGTGGCGGAGGGCTGCTCCTCCTTCCCGGACTATAAGGCGGCGAGGGCACCTGATCCGGGGAGGTGCGACCTCTTCTTCGATCCATGGCAGCGCGGTGGCTCCGACTGCAGGCGTTTGTGGTGGTGCGGGGTGAGATGGCCAAAGGATGGAGGTGGGGTTGGGCGTGGTGGGTGGCAGCGGCGTCGTGCGACCTCTTCTTCGATCCATGGCAGTGCGGTGGCTCCGGCTGCAGGCGTTTGTGGTGGTGCGGGGTGAGATGGCCAGAGGATGGAGGTGGGGTTGGGCGTGGCCGGTGGCGGCGACATCGTCTGGCCCGGATCCGGTCTTGGCGGAGGCGGCGGCCGCTCCAGCCCGGATGCGAACATGGCGGTGGCGGTGTTCCCTCTGCCGGGGATGATGGGCCAGATGGTGGGTCCGTGTGGTGGCGCGGATGGCGGTGGATCTTGGGATCCCGCACCCGGGGACATCGCAGGACGCGTGTGGCGGTCGAAGCTTCCTCTGGCGTCGACGGCGCTTGATGCGGGATCGACGTGGTGGTTGCTGTTGTATGGGCAACGACAACGACTGGCGCGGCGGTGGGTGCTCCATGTAGCGCCCGGAATTGGGGCGGCGACCCCTCTTCATCAACAGCGACGGATACCGGGATCATGTGAGCGATTCGGAGTCTGGTTCTTGAGGTGGTGACGGCCTTCTGAGGCTGGTGGCGGTATGGGACGTCCCCTCCATCAACAGACCGGGTTCGATGTGGCTCGGCAGGTGACACATTTGCCGCTTTCGGAGTTGTCGGGCTGTGCCTGTCGCCGACAGGTGAAGCCACCGGTGGATGTGCTACCGGCGGATGCTACGCATGGCGTCTTATATGAAGATGCCAAGTCATGCCTGCTATCGGCAGGTGATGCACGGTGGCTCTGGCGTAGGTGTCATGTTTAGCCTGTTGTTGTCGGATCAAAGGTGATGCGACAGTAGCGGAAGGCAGCCGGTATGTGACGTCTTTGTCTTTCGTTGTCTCCTCCAGAGGTATCTGCCTATCGAGGTGTCGGTAGACGGATAAAGGCGGATGGTACCGACGGCTTCAGCAACGAGTTTATACACTCTGGTGGAAACACAAGATCTCTGATCAGACTATGTCGTCGCGCGCATGTGTCGTGTCCTTACTAAAGGTGGTGGATTGAAGCTTGGCTTTGGGGACGAGAATCCGGAGTTCAACCTTGTGGTGGACTCGCCATCATCGGTGCATGTGCGGTGATCCCTTCTTGAAGGTGTAGTCTAGGAGTTGTATACTTTTTTGTTTATGTTGTTTTTTGTATCATAGGGATTAGTAGCTATCTGGGGGAGGTAATGTTGTGAGGTATATGGCCTTAGGGTTTGTTTTCCCCTTTATTTTCGGGTAGGTGGTGTTCGGC